GATGTAACAAAGTTACAAAACGAAAGTAATCAAAATAAACAAAATATATGACACATGTAATAGACATTAAGCAAATAACTAATTAATTTTGATTACACACATAAAACTTAATGATGTATGAAAACAAAAACAGACGATGACGTTTTTCCGCGTGAGACTAGATCCTCCGTTTTCTTTCGTCGACAAATTTGTGTTTAAGCGACCACAACATGACGGAATCTCAGCGGGTTCTGGAGGGAGTGAATAGTTAGGTTTCATATCCGGTTGGCGAAAGGAGAAGACGACTACTAAGAAGAAAGGGAGGAAGAAGATGAATAATAATAATAATGATGAGGATAGTAATACGACGAAGAAGAAAAAAAATGAGGAGGAGAAAAATTTGTGATGAAAAAATAGATAAATAGATAGACAAACAGACAAATAGAAATATAATTAAGCGGAGACTGATAATTAGATGGGATGAACACTACAGTAGAGAGCAAAGAAAACCGAGAAAGAAATGAGGATAGAGAAAGAAGCAAAAAGGAAAGAAAGAAAAAAAGAAAAGTTAAAGTGTAGCTAGAGAACCGCGCGCGAGACCCTTTGGAAGACAACGATGATTATGGAAGTGATGACGAGGAGCGCCGCCGACGCAGCGCTCAGAAGCCATGGCCAGTGCGGGTGTAGGGGAGGGGAGGGGCGACGGGGAGCACGGCTCCCTGGGGCTGGTATCCCCCCTGGTCAGCCACGAAGACGATGTCCACCTGCTGGCCCTCGGGGGAGGTGTACCTGGGGGAGAAAAAAGAAATGGTATAGTGTAGGTTTCAGTTAATGTCCACGCGCAATCACACATTCACTCGCACGCAAACATCCAGCTGTTGACCCTCGCAGTAGTACACTTGAGGGAAACAAGGGAATGCTTCCTCTTGGGGTAATGATAATGGTTTGATGATAATGGTCTCATGATACTGGCTCATCCACACACATGCACACACGAATACAAAGAATCTCGCCCGCTCATGCACGCCTGTGGGCCTCAGGGGATGTCTGCGTGTGGGTGTCATTACACGAGCTTGGCATGTGTCCCGCGCCACTGTCACTTGTCATTCCCACGTTTATCTGTCACTTTTCACTGTCGCTTATCACCGTCACTCATTATTGATCTTTACTTCATGGTAAAAGTGAGTAGAAACCTAGTATGAGTGAGGATTTCTTTGCATAAGTGTCATTGACGATGTTTGAGTAATAGTTTTGTGAGGTATGCACATGTAGATGAAATACTCGTCTGATAGTGCCCGGTGGTGTAAAATGTAATCACAGAGGACTAGGTCCTGGAATTTATCTTAGAGAGAGAGAGAGAGAGAGAGAGAGAGAGAGAGAGAGAGAGAGAGAGAGAGAGAGAGAGAGAGAGAGAGAGAGAGAGAGAGAGAGAGAGAGGAGAGAGAGAGAGAGAGAGAGAGAGAGAGAGAGAGGAGAGAGAGAGAGAGAGAGAGAGAGAGAGAGAGAGAGAGAGAGAGAGAGAGAGAGAGAGAGAGAGAGGATGAGGAGCAAGAGAAAGAAAGAAAATCTGAAAACCCTTATCTCAAGAGTCTGATAAATAAAGGTCAACTTATACTCTGCTTTCTCCCTGTGTATAGAACTTTTGAAAACAAACAAACAGCAACAGAAGAACACCAGAAACAAAAATCAACGAACGCAACCGAAACTCACGTCCATCCGCCCTGCGCCACCTGCCCGTAGCTCTGGCTGCCGGACTCCTGGCGCGCGATGCCGTTGCCGGCCTCGAAGTCGAAGGAATATTCCCCGTACGTGTTTTGGGTTCGGTCGTCCTTCAGGATGGGGATGTGGTGCGGGTATCCTACGGGCCTCGGGTACCCTGTGTCTCCGGATACCACGGCGGCGGCCACGAGGAGGATCTGAGGAGGGAAGAGCGGGGAAGGGAGACAATTGAGAGAAGGGATGGGCAAAGGAAAGCAGTGACGTTGGAAGAGATGGATAGCGATGGGCAGATTATGTCCGTGGAGCGTCGCTGTATGAAGACAGTTGAAGATGTGACTTGAGGTAGTTAAATGAACCAATTGGGGCATGAATATATGCAAAATAGGATGGGATGACGGTAAAAATTGAAGTCCGGAAAGAAATTGATGATTAATATCAATACTTTATAAGAAAAAAAGTGACTGCAGATATTAAACAGTAAAGAGTAAATATTAAACGAAATAACAGCAACAAAAATGCACACAAAAAATTAAAGGAAGTTCACTAACAGCGCAAACAGACAGCCTGAGGGACACCATCTTGAAGTTCTAATCGTTTCCTTAATGAGAGAACTGGGAGGATCTGGAACAGTCAATCCACAACTGACGAAGGAGAGGCCGAAGAACCACCTTTTATGGGGAGCAAAAAGCCTCCAGACTCCGCCCACGTCCTCTCCCCTTCCCTTCCCCGACGGTGACAGGTGGACAACATCATCACCATCACCACCACACCGTCACCACCACCACTTCACCATCACTCGGTTTCCCTTCGCTGTCCTGATGTTCGCGCAGGCGGCTTTGTGGTCAGAGCGCAGGGTGGGAGGGTGTTGGGGGGGGGCAGGGTTCTACGTAATGGTATGGAGGAGAACGGTTCGATGGTGGTTTGGGATGCTTAGGAAAGCACGCGCACGTGTGCTTATAAATACATACAAAAAAATCTACATTCACACATAAACACACATACCCACACACATCCACATTCATACTCACACACACATTTTGCTTTATTTGGTAATCTCTCAAAACACCTATACACAAGAGAACTAATATCAGCTTGGATTCCACGCGAAAATATAGAAAAATATTATGGTGATAGTGCTAGATATTATAAATATTTCAACAGTGAAGAGATGATGGAAATTATGGTAATGGTAGTGGTGATAAAATGAGAATGTTTTTTAAGTAATTGTGGCGGCCCTGATACCGTTGTTGCTATTACAACTATTGCTGCTATAACTGATATCAAAGATAACATATCAATCACAATACTACTTGCAGTATCAGGGCTGAATTATAGTAGAAACAATGGTAATGATAGAACTGCTACTTCTAACACTAATATTTCTACTACTACTACTACTTATACTACTGCTACTACCACTGCTAATGCTACTAATGACAATAATGATAAAAATGACAATTATAACAATAATGACAATAATGATATTGATAACAGTATTGATGATAATGATGACTGTAGTAATAATAATGATAATAATAATAATGATGATAATAATAATAATAACAACAACAACAATAATAATGATAATAATAATAATAATAATAATAATAATAATAATAATAGTAATAATAATAACTGCGATAATAATGATAATGATAAAATTAATAATAACAATAATGTAATAATAATAATGATAATAACAACAGCAGGAATAGTAAGGAAGATAATAATAATAATATTGATAATAATAATAACTGCGATAATAATGATAATGATAAAATTAATAATAACAATAATAATAATAATAATAATGATAATAATAATAATGATAATAACAACAGCAGCAATAATGATAATAACAACAGCAGCAATAATGATAATAACAACAGCAGCAATAATGATAATAATAATAATAATAATAATAATAATATAATAATAATATAATAATAATAATAATGATAATAATAATAATAATAATAATAATAATGATGATGATAATGATAATAGTTATAATGATGATGATGATAATAATAATAGTGATGATAATGATGACTGTAGTAATAATAATAATAATAATAATAATAGTAATAATAATAACTGCGATAATAATGATAATGATAAAAATGATAAAGAAGATGATAATAATGATATTAACAACAACAATAATAATTATGATGATAATAACAATGCTAATAATGATGATGATAATGATAAAATTAATAATAACAATAATGTAATAGTAATAATGATAATAACAACAGCAGCAATAATGATAATAACAACAGCAGCAATAATGATAATAATAATAATAATAATAATAATAATAATAATAATAATAATAATAATAATAATAATAATAATAATAATAATAATAATGATGATGATGATAATGATGATGATTATGATGATATTGATAACAGTATTGATGATAATGATGACTGTAGTAACAATAATGATAATAGCAATAATGATGATGATGATAATGATGATGATTATGATGATATTGATAACAGTATTGATGATAATGATGATGATTATGATGATATTGATAACAGTATTGATGATAATGATGATGATTATGATGATATTGATAACAGTATTGATGATAATGATGATGATTATGATGATATTGATAACAATAATAATAATAATGATAATAACAACAGCAGCAATAATGATAATAATAATAATAATAATAATTAATAATAATAATAATTAATAATAATAATAACAACAACAACAATAATAATGATAATAATAATAATGATAATAATAATAACTGCGATAATAATGATAATAATAATAACTGCGATAATAATGATAATAATAACAATAATAATAATAATAATAATAATAATAATAATAATAATAATAATAATGATAATAATAATAATGATGTTGATGATAGTGATAATAGTGATGATAATGATGATGATTATGATGATATTGATAACAATAATAATAGTAATAGTGATATTGATGATGATAATGATAAAAAATATATACTATTACTACTACTACTACTATTATAACTACTAGTAACAATTATGATAACAATAACAGCGACAATGACGATAATGATAATGGTAGTAAGAGTAATGCTATTGCAACTAAATTATATTAAGTAAAAGATATAACACTAAGACATTTATGATAAAAAAATAATGGTAAGGATAATAATGTTAATAATAGAAATGCCAGTAGTTTGTATTGAACGTCTACCAGAGATAGATAGAGAAAGCCTGTCAGTCAAGTGTCATTAGCTGTCATTAATGAATCTGAATGACATCTGTGACAGAACG